AGGTTGTATATTTTATTACATATAAACAGTAGATATAATGCCAAGCGTACGGTTAAAATAAAAATAAGATCGTGTCCTGTAACGTGTTGTCATTCAATCAACACACTGCGTTTATTTTGTATGAATATATACATATATATTATTTATGAAGTTTGCGTAACAAATTAACGATACGTATGAAGCTTGTAAAGTTTGCATGAAGTATAATTGTAATGCATAATATCGTTCGATCGTGACGATGGGAGAGAATGTTTCAACGAACAGTGCCCAAAGAACTATCGAGATGAGATTTATTCCTCTTTTGTTCTCTCATTCTTCGGACGAATTTACGTAATTAGTTATCGATAAGGGCGTTACGCAAACGGAAGTCTGTATTTTACGGGCAAATAGAAATTCTTTGTATGAGAATAACTTCGATCTTTTCATTGTTAAATTAGTTCGCAATTTATCAAATAATGTAATGCCGTTACTATTATAAAACGAAAAATATGACAAAAAGTGTAAATATTCATAAAGTGTATTTTTAAAATTAACAAAGCGACTCGTGTATTTTCCCTTTAATACCCCGTGATAAATATCTGAGCATTGAGATATATTTTTATTCGAAGCTTTCTAGGATATTGTTCTGTGCTTTGGGTCATTTTTTTCCGTAACTCAATTTCTCGAGGGAATACAGATATTTGTATAGTGGTATCGCGTGGTATCACATGGTAAAAAAATTTAATTTGCGTATAAAACATTGGAAAATTCCGATCGTACGCGCTTTTACAAAAGACGAGAGATTTCGCAATTTCAATGAAACTATAATACCGCATTATGTTTTATCGTTTAACGTTATTTACATACCTGGTATCACAGCATATGGCGTCCCCGCTTCTGGGCATGACTAATTAAATTTTCGATGATTTATGGATCCAGCGTAGCCGTTTATTTCCTTAAAAGAAACGAATTAATTACGGTGAGGCAAGCTGCACTTGATAAATGATTCTACGAAAATTTTTATTTATCGTCGATGCAAGTTAAACGCTGTTAAACAAAGTACCGAATAACCGAACGAACGTATTTGAATCAACTATCGAATGTCACGTTCGATGTGGCAGTTAACAGTACGAAACGACGCAATGTCGTATCGAATAAATGGTTAATTGTTATTTTCTAGGTCACTCGTCTAAATTCTTATAAAAAGTATTCGTTCGAGGAACGTTATTGTTATCGAAAACTGATAGAATCGTAGCCGTTTCTATTTTATTTTGTACAAAAACGAGAATAGAAAAATATCGGCATACTGCGCGTTTACTTTGAATGCGCAGAAATAGCGCCAAAACCACGCGAACTCATGACCACGATTGAAATGCGAATTTGCGAAAGATATTTACGCGGGAAAAGTGAATTTATACGTAGAAACGTACCTCGCACTTTTTTCTATTTAAGCACAGCATCACACACTCACAAAAAACACTTTTTCACAGTTGAACGACACAAAATTCGACACGAATATACGCGGGCTTCGTTACGAAGAATTCACGCACGTAGTACTAAAATATACAACGCGGTGGCGTCAACGTCGTCTTTCCAACAGTTTGCAATACGTCACGAAGACAACTTCTCGTTGTTCGAGAAACCGCGAAAAGCTGATCGTCGTGCCGGGTTCAAGTGAGACGCGATCGTAATTATACTCGTTAAAAGTGATTATTACCGTGTAAACCGTTTAATTTCAAGTTTACAAGTTGATTTTTCGCGATGTGCGTCTCTTCGTACAAGTACACCGTTGTCGCGAAGTGTTTACCGAATGTGATGTGACGAACGACTGACCTTCCTCGTCGAACTTCCACGACGCTGACTTTGTTTAACACAAAAACAGGAGGAAGAAGGTATGTACGTGTTGTGTTGTTTTTTTTGTTTTTAGACATTCCTTTGCTTTTTCTACTTCTGTTTACAATTCGACGAACCTTGCGTGCACGTGCACGTATAAAAACACCGAAACTCGTGTAACGTGATAGTCTTCGTAACTGTCGATATACATACGTGCATATGTACTTCAAAACGATAGTACATTTCGTAATATTCCGCGTACCCCATACATTTCGTCAGACGCCCTAAACCACGTTCTACTTTATCAAGCTATAAAACCATTGAAACAAGCGGTTCTCTAATTATTTCGAGCGGTAGCCACGAGCAACTACTTCCTGTTTCACATTGTTCAGAACTGTTATTTATGCAGCAGCGTGCAATGTACAGCGTACGACCTAGCTAGACTTTAACCGTATAATACGATATTCACAAGGACGTGCGCTCGCGTTGGTAGAGAATTGCTGCAGATATGCAAGTGGTAGCTGCTCGATAATCGGATTAAACCGGCAAAGCGTGGGCTAATTTGAAAATTTTGCGAGTACACCGGTGTATACGTGTGATTCACCCTAATTACGTCGTTATAACGAAATAGACAAGTTCGAGTATGGAAAAGAGGAAACTCCATTAACCAGGCGTCCTCGTTTATCGCGTCTTTCCCCCTCCACCCTTCTAACATGGCCGACTATTCCATTAGCGTGTACTGCGTAGATATTAAAAAATTACCTACCACCGTTCAACAATCGTCGAAACGTGCTACTTTTAACGTTGTATTTTTATCCTATTTCTCTTCATCTTTTTTCGTTTTTCAACTCTCGCGTTTACCTTTACGAAACTTTCGGAATTAAATATCGGAATTTTCCGACGAATTCCAGAGCTCTCTTTGGAAAGCGCTGTAGTTGCTAATGAAATATTCAGAAACTCTCTGTGTTGCGTAGTTGCCTCTGTTTTACCATTCGCTTCGACATTTTCGTTGCGTAGGCAAATGAAACAAAGCTCGAGATAACAATGGATTAAATAATCGAATCAGCTTGAATTACGAAACGGTGAACGTTAAAATAGTAAAGAACAATCGTTTTTTTTTTATCGTAGATAGAAAAAAGATGCACTTAAATCGCGATATTTGTGAAATTTTCTTCGTGCAAGTGTTTCGAAACGACCAGGAGAGAGCAGCTTCTCTCACGATCGAGATTCTGGACGTGTTTAAATCTGATCTGAGCGAAAACTGAGAGGAAACATTCCGATAACGAAGTTTGCCTTCTTCCCATGCTCGGGGATTTAATTTAATCCATTCGAGGTGGCGTACATAGTATTCGCGGGAGATTCGTTTTCGAACTGGATTTTCGGCCGGCGCTGGGTAAAACGGATTCGATTTAAGACGACTCCGGGCACGGAGTACAATAATTTTCGCGAAATGAACGCCTCCTGAGTGCATCCCAGTCGCGCTCTGACAGGTTAATTAAGCGGCCATTCCGTTCTTTCGAAAACATCGGCTGGGTATGGCGTGCTGGCGTGGCTTTCGAGCGGAAGCTCGTTACGAGCAACCATGAGCCGAGCAATTATCATTCTTTGATATCTGTCTACGATATACGCTTGTGATGAACGTTCACACGGTTTCCCTTGCACACTCTTTTCGTTCCTATACGAATTCACACGTGGACAGACATTTTGGAAAATTTGTACAGTTTCTTCCAAAAATATTGGCACACATAATAATTTATGGTTTCTTTTACTGACAATGCGTGTAAATGTAAGCTATTATTTATTATACATTTAATAATGTGTGAAATAAGAAACGCTAATATTTCACAATTCTCGGTGCTAGTTAATTTAGAATTAAAATTAATTTTTATTACTGATATAACTGATTTTATCACGTGAGTCCGACTCGTTGTAAGGGCAAAGGGTTAAATACGGCGTAGATAAAAATATTCGTGATATTTGAAATATTATATACCATGAATATTGAAAATATCCATTTTTGCTGGGTGTGCAAATATTTGTAACATAGCAATTTTGATTAATTTAAATAATTTATTAGAATTTATATTTACATAGTGACTGAATATTTTTGGGAGTAGCTGTATTTTGGTCAGAAGGATGAATAGACTATTTAACATTATTAAAAGGTGACTACTTTAAGTAAATAATTAATTGGAGCGTAGAGACTATATGAATCATTTTTGGAAGCTTTTCAATATCCTCAGACGATTGTTTGTTTCATTTTTGGATGCTTTTTAATACCCTTAGATGATTATTTGCCTCACTTTTGGAAGCTTTTTAATATCGTTAGACGAGTGACTAATTTTTCAAAGCTTCCATCTTCGCTAAATAAATAATCATACAACAGACTTCCGCCTAATTCCACCCAAAGTTCGCGTTTAATTGTTCGGCACGAATACGGAAACGAATAAGCACATTTCTCAACTTATCGAAAGCAGCGGGGTGCGCTTAACAAGAACTTCCGAAACTATAGTTAAAGATACAGTATTACCACGGAACAAACGCAAAGGCGTTTCCCGAATGTAAACGCAAGAAGACGGTTCGGTTCGACGTAGCACGGATTCAATTACGCAGAAGCAAGCCGCACGGCTATGTCCTGGCGATATTTCAAGCTTGTCGGATTAGTTTTCCCTGTAGATACCCCGTGTCTGCGACATCCTCGAAGGTTCTAACGTGAGAATTCCTTAGTCAGGTCCCCCGGTACTTGCTAGTTGCCCTGGGAACTGTTTAAAATGTAAAGACCACGCTGATTTATCACCGTACCACGCGAAATGCTGCTGTTAGTACTCCAGCTTATACCTCCTTTCTTTCTCTATTTTCTCTTCTGTTTTTCCCGCTTCTTTAACCGGTTAATCGAGCAAGATGAGTGTTCGGTTGTAAAAACCTAAATCTGTTCACGGCTCGCAAATTTACAATTATTTAGGAAACCCTCTCATCTGGCCACCAGAAGCGGCAGCCTGCCGACCGACCAGATGAACCAGGACTCGACCCTACAATATAACAAATATTTAACAACAATCCCCCCACCCTCTCGACACGACAGTCACCCCCGGAATACTCACAAAAATCCAATCAACACTCTTCAACCACCTCCACTACACATTTGAACAGCGAATAGAAGCACAC